CCCAGCCTCACACCGCCCCACCCGGCCCCACCCCGACCGGTCCTCGCCATGGAGGACGAGGTCGCCGACGTTGTCTGAGGCGCCCGGCCCGGACCAGCCTGTCGGAGGGAGGTGTCCTGGTGTCAGTGACCCCCGGCGGGCCGCCTCGACGCGACCGGTCCTCCCGGACCCTCCCCCACCGACAGACACGTTATTCACGACCACCGAAAACTAGATTTTTCGTATTCACATTGAGAAACAACGGCACAAACGAAAGTATCGACTCAGAATCCCGTTGGCAGATTTCGCCGGCAACGTGCCGAAGCGTCGTCGTCTGCTGCGCAGACCAGACGGGAATGACAATAATATAATAAAGAGTTGGAAGCAAAGGGCCCTGCGATGAAAGTGGGATTTACCCCCCGGATTTGCCGTCGTATGCTAATAGCGGGTTGTGCAAGGCGAGCAGGCCTCATGAGGCATTCGCAGATTAATTTTGACGACTCCGCTCGGAAACCTTATCAGCCGCGCCGTGTCTGCGGCGGCGGGCGGCGGGGGCGGGGGGTCTCGACGAGTGCTCGACCGACGGGGTCCTCCGAGGGGGGCCGACGAGCGAGACAGGCCTCTTGAGGTTGAGGCCGGCGGCGATGTCCCGGTGCCGCCGCCTAATCCCCTCGGCCTCCGGGGCGCGGCCGGCGCGGCGCGGGGGCGCTGATAGCGACCGACGGGTGGTAAAAAAGGAGGGCGGTCAAACATTGCACCGAGATTGGCGGGAGGGTTTAATGGTACGAGATTGGCGGGAGGGTTTAATGGTAATGATTACCCTGCCACAGGGAAAAGGTGACGCAGGACGCAATGACTAATTCAAAGAGAGTCGTAACACACTTATTAACACATCTGTCATTCTGTCAGTTATTATTATTAACAACACATGTCTGTAAAGGGATGGTGCTCAGCGACGAATAGGTATTGCGTTTTAGATTAGGGTGACAACAATAACCGCGATTTATAAACTTTTTAAATAAAGTTATTGTGATGTTAGTTGTGTAATCATTTAATTAGTAATGGTGATGACCAATATGATGATTAAGAATGATCAAGTGTTGGTAAAAATGATAATGATCAAGTGTTAATAATAATAACGATGATCAAGTGTTACTAATACTGATCAGGTGTTAGTAATACAGTGTGGGTGATCCGCGCCGTGGTTTTTTTTTCTGCCTATACTGTAACGCATTCGTGCGTGCGGACGGGTTGCATACTCGCACGGGGCCGTAAGGCGCCCTGGCGAGCGCCGATAGGCAAGCCCGCCCGCACGCATGAATCCGGTACAGCATAAGCGGCATAAGCAGAAAAAGACCACGGCGCGGATCACCCACCCTGTACTGATCCAGGGTTCGTAATAATGATCAGGTGTTAGTAATAATGATCAAGTGCTTGTAATAACGACACTCTGTTCGCAGAGGGCGGCGGCGTCGCTATGGAAGGCGACGTGGCGCAAGAAGCACCTGGACGACGGCCCGTCGGAGCTGGCGCGGGTCCTGGGGCTGCTGGACCTGACGGCGCTGGGCGTGGGCTCCACCATGGGCCTGGGCGTGTACGTGCTGGCGGGCACCGTGTCGCGGACCCAGGCCGGCCCCGCCGTCGTCATCTCGTTCCTCATCGCCGCCATCGCCAGCGTCTTCGCGGGTAAGTAAGTACACGATGTCCATGTTTATTTATAGAAAAGCACGTACGCAAACCTTGTGCCCCGCCCCCCCCTGCCAACACCTCCTCCCCCCGCCACGCCCCCTTGCCCCCACACAATGAGGGATGGACCCGGGCGACCCTGGCCGTGACCGCGCGCGCCCCCTGCGGGTGCGGGTGGGGAGGGGGAATCAGCGCGGCAAAAGCTTTTTGGGCCGCGTCCATACCACGACTAGTTGCAGATGTTTCGAGCTTGAGAAAACTCGCCGCACAAAATTAAATAGCTCGGTCGTTATATAAAGCGAAATGAACAATGATGTGCGCTCGCCGCAGATATCTTTAGCGAGCACCCCGCAACACATGCGAAAATAAAACACAGTGATGCGAACGTATTTGCATTAACGTATTTTAGTGCGACATGGTTTGCACCTGGAATTGCTCTGTGGTCGCCGCGCCCGGCTGGGCCGGGCTGCTGGGTCTTCGTCTCTACCGCGCGAGGGGGCAATAACTCCGGGAATCATGTGTACACCTGTCTGGGAATCATCAGGATAAAAATTGATCAAAATCAATAGAAGTCGCCAAGAATAAGCGGGAAACTAGAGAAATGAGTACAAATCAGTCGCATTGAGCGTTTTATACCACTAAAACCTCCCGAAAAACCAATGTAATAATTATAAGCGGACGGGAATCACCGGGAATCAAGAATTTCGGGAATCATGTGTACACTTCAAAAGGAAGTTATTGCCCCCTCGCTACCGCGCTGACAGTAGCGTTTGTTGCTACTTTCAAAATTAGCTAATCGTTGTGGGTGCATGACGTGTGGGGGGGCTGACCAACGTGACGGGCGGTTGCGGGCTGACGCACAGGCGCTTCAAAGTCGGCGGCACGGCCGGCGCGCTCCTTGGCGTCCAACCAGAGGCGCGCGCCGTCGCCAAGAGGCACACACAGACACACAGCGGCATACTTCTGGTCTTCCATCAGCTGCCTGGTCGTTACCCGGGGCAATGCTAATAAGTCGGGGTATATCGCGAGCCAGAGTTCTCAAACGGGTGGGTCTTGCGGCTGCTTTTGGACCCGCCACTGCGGGTGGGGCGGGTGGGTCGAGCGGGTATGGGCTACCCGCCGCACCGTGCGGAAGGTGCAAGTGGGGGATAAACCGCTCTAACCGCGATATCTTCCTTATTCAGTGTAGAATCGAAGATTTAATCATAGTGTGTGCTCTTTAGAACAAAGCCGTTTTGCTTCATAAAATTAAAACTGAAATTTTATTCAATTTTTTTAGAAACTACAAAGTAAAGAAGAATTTCTTCTGCTCACGGTGCATTTTTCAAAAGTAAACAAACACTAGAAAACAATTTTTGAAATATTTTTTTGCGTATCATTGTCATTATCCAGTTTTGTCGTAGCGGTGCGTCCAATCACCTCTATTTCGCATATTTAGCTGGAAATTTAGGCTCAAAGTTTCATTGCCCCCACTGAGCCGAGCCGGCTGCGTCACCTATCGGCTCGGCTCGTAGTGCGCGCTCTCTCACACGCCTGGCGTGCGGGTAGAGGGACCCACCCGTTTGAGAACTCTGTCGCGAGCACGTCCTCCAAGGCGGGCGGCGAGCGGCGGGCCTGGCCCGGCCCCGCCTCCTCTGCGACGACCTGGGTCACGCGGAGAGGGTCTCCTCGGCGCCGTCCAGGAAGCGGAGCCGGCGCGGCGGCGGCCGGCCGCCTCGCCTCGCCGCACCCGTCGGCCTTGTGCCTGTTCTGCGCGTACCTGTTGTTGTTGTCGCCGGCACAGCCTCCTCTCGCTCCTCCTGCAGCGCCGCCGCGGCCGTTTACGCAAAATTTTATTTCTTTTGGTTATTTCCCCTCCTTCCTCTTTGTTTTTCCGATGCGGCGGCCGGCCGACGCCCATCGTCCGCGTCGTCCCGGATGTATACGGAAACCGCCGCCGCCGCCGCCGCCGTCGTGACCGGTTTGCTCTCTGTTCCGACGACGACGTCCTGGCCGATGGCCCCGGCCGAGTGGGCTGCTCCCTTTGCCTCTCACCCCCTCCCTCCTCGTGCGTCAGCTGGTCAGTCGCCGCCGTCAGCCGTCAGCCGTCAGCGGTGTCAGCGTCAGCCGCCGCCAGTCAGGCGCCGCGCCCCCCTCGCTCCGGTCGGTCAGCGAGGGCGAGGGGCGAGGCCCCCGTCAGTGCCGGGGTAGGCAACCGGAACGCGCCCGCGCCGCGCCTCCTCGGCGGCTGCCTACCTGCCAGGCGCTCTCGAGCTTGAAAACCACGACTACAAAAAATACATCGCTCTGTGGAAATGACACAATACATTTTCACATATTTATTTAATTATTTTTTTTTGAAAGAAAATTCTGGAAAATTGGGTTGATGCTACTCCAGCTGGTTTTAAACCCCTCCTCCCCTCGCCCTGCCTCTCCCTGGCGGACTACACTGGTGCCGCTCCTTGCCCTTCCCCACGGACGACCCCCGTGCTGACTCCCTGTGTGTTGCCGTGTTGCAGGTGGTGATGTGGTCTCGATGTGCCAGGGCGGCCCAGGATGACGGGCTGCGCGAGGCCCCCGCCCGACCTGCTCGATGCTTGGGGTTCAAGGTCTCTAACAGGTGTTGCCTAGCGCGCGCATAGGCCTCTGGCTCCCGACCGGGGAGTGATGTAAGCCAGCGTCAGGTATGACAGGGAATGCCCGCGCGGGACAAGTTGACGGTTTTGTTGTGCGAGTACAAGAGGGAGGGGCAGGGGGGCGGCGGCGTGGAGGAGAGGAGGTCTCTGAATGAGCAGCGAAGAAAGAGACTGTGACTGAGAGTGATTCTGCTCTTCCGTTCTCAAGGAAGGGGGGAAAATATGCTCGAAAAAACCTCTTTGCCGAAGTTGAAGCGTCAACTGTGCGCGAAGTTTATCATTGACCATGGATGAAGTTCGCCAGACTTTGTGAGCGTCAATCGAAGATCGTGGAGAGATCGTTCGAAAAAGTTCGTCGAATCGAAGCTCATCAAAGCTTCTTTATCATCCGAAGTTTGAGAATGTCTCCCTTTGCCTCCAGGCCTCTGCTACGCTGAGTTCGCGGCGCGCGTGCCCAAGGCGGGCTCGGCCTACGTGTACGCCTACGTGGCCGTCGGGGAGGCGATCGCCTTCATCATCGGCTGGACCCTCATCCTGGAGTACGCCATCGGCACGGCGAGCATGTCGCGGGCCGTGTCGAGCTACGTGGACAAGCTGGTGGGCAACCAGATCAGCGCCTTCCTCAACGGCACCGTGCCCATGAACGTGCCCTACATGGCCGAGTACGCCGACTTCTTCTCGCTCTTCATCGTCATCGTCATCACGCTCCTGCTCGCCTTCGGCGTCAAGGAGTCCTCGTACGTCAACATGGTGTTCACGTTCGTCAACCTGGCGACCGTCATCACCGCCTTCATCACCAGCTCGATCTACGGTGCGTGTACCCCACCGCCCTGTGTGTGAGACGAACAGACGGACAGACAAACAGACAGACAGACGGTCGCATTGACGTCAGCGGCGTACCTGATCGAGTCGGTCCCTGCTCCCCTTTTCCAGCCGACCCCCACAACTGGTCGCTCAGCCTCGACGAGATCCCCGCCCAGTACCGCGACGCCGCCGGGACGGGCGGCTTCATGCCGTTCGGCTTCAAGGGCGTCATCCAGGGCGCAGCCACCTGCTTCTTCGGCTTCGTCGGCTTCGACTGCATCGCCACCACCAGTGAGTAGTCGACTCGCCAGTCAAACTCATCGTAAAGGTCACAAAAAAACTTTAAAAGATATATATACATGATTGGAAAAATACACAAAAATAATTATAATTTATTTTTCTAAAATTGATGAATTTCTCCTGTAGGCGAGGAGACCAGGAACCCCCGGCGCAACATCCCTCTCGCCATCGTGATCTCGCTGATCATCATCTGCACCGCCTACTGCGGCGTGGCCACGTCGCTCACCCTCATGTGGCCGTACTACAGCCAGGACTCGGACGCGCCCTTCAGCTACGCCTTCCAGGAGCTGGGCCTCCACGCCGTGCGCTGGATCGTGACGGTGGGCGCCGTGTTCGCGCTCGCTACCAAGTAAGTCGCGGTGAACGCAGGGCCTTAAGATTACGGTTGGAAATAAACTTTTTCGGGGGGTCAGTCAACAGTCAACTTCCCACTTTACTAAGTGTGCTTAAAAGTTTCTAAAGTACCAATATGTAACTCAATAAATTAGAAAGCCATAAGAAAAATTTGACACCGTTCCCGCACACACTGACGACACACTGCCCTGCCACCAGCCTCCTGGGCTGCATGTTCCCGCTGCCGCGCATCCTGTACTCGATGTCGACCGACGGCATCCTCTTCAAGTTCCTGGGCAACATCAACCGGCGCACGCAGACGCCCGTGATCAGCACGCTGCTGGCGGGCGCGCTGGCGGGCGTCATGGCGCTGCTCTTCGACCTGTCGCAGCTCATCGAGATGCTCTCCATCGGTACGCTGCTCGCCTACTCCATCGTGGCCCTCTGCGTGCTCGTGCTGAGGTAGGGCCAAAGAGGAGGAGTGACCTCGCGTCGCCGCGCCGCGGTCCGGTGGTCCTCTCTCTCTGCTGGGATCATCGCTCAAATTGGCGCGACAATTCACACCCCTTGCTGCGGGCCGTGGTCATGCGCAGGTACACGGCGTACGTGGAGCCCGCCAAGACCGACAAGGACGGCCAGCCGGCGGCCGACCGCTTCCTCGCCGCGACCCGGGCCCTGGGCGCGCTCGTCAACTGGGAGCGGTCGTCCGTGCCCACGGCCGTGTCCACGGGCGCCGCCGGCATCCTCGTCGCCGCCTTCGGTGAGTACCGCGTTCCCGCGTCACGTGCCCTGTGACGTGTTCGTCACGTGCACGTCACGCCACTGCCACGTGTCCCCGTCACGCGACTGTCATAAGTGCCCTTATGTGCCCGTCACGTACGTGTCCCTGTGCTGACCGCTGGCTCTCTCTGCCCCGCAGCCGCGCTGGCGCTCGCGCTCTGCGTGCTCCTGGGCGACGCGGGCGCCTCGCTGTACGGCGACCCTGGGCCCTGGGCCGGTCCGCTGCTCGCCCTGAGCGTGCCCCTGCTCGTCGTCCTCCTGCTGCTGTGCCGGCAGCCCCAGGCCAGAGTGGACCACCTGTCCTTCTCGGTGAGTGCACAGTGCGCGCAGCCCTGAATGCCCCCCGGGGGCCTTGGTCGGGAGAAGACCCTCGACATGATCGTGTCCTTTGTCGTGCAGGTGCCGTGCCTCCCGGTGATCCCGGCGCTCAGCGTGTTCCTCAACTTCTACCTGATGGTGGAGCTCCGCGCCGAGACGTGGGTCCGCTTCACGGTCTGGATGTTCCTCGGTAAGGCTCGGACCTGCGACCAGAGCTGTGCCAAAACCAATGGGGGGTCCAAATACTATGGGGTCCAAACAGGACCAGGACGTTCACTAAGGTTGATAAGCACCCCATGATATTTGCACCCCGCGTACAAATACCATGAAGACCTTACGGACTCTGACGACCGTCCTGATTCTGTTGGGGCCCCATGATATTTGGTTCCCCCGCACTTAAGTCACGTGGTTTGGCCACAACGGAGGCCCTCGACCTCGGCGTAGCGTAACCCCGCCCGGATGTCTGCCGCAGGTCTCGTCGTGTACTTCTCGTACAGCGTGCGGCACAGCGGGGAGCGGCCGTGCAACAGGCCGGCGCCACCGGCCGGCGCCAACGGAGCGCCCCCCACCGCCTCGCCCGCCGAGGCCAAAGCCGAGGCCGCCACCACCTACAAGCACGCCGAGGGGATGACACACCTGTGATATAACTTAAAGACTTTCTTACTTATTTAATGCTAAGGGCTGGAGGGCGGGCGGTCGGAGCTGTCCCCCGAAACACACGTGATACGACAAAACCGGGTGCGGCTAGTCTGCTTCCGAATTTTGTGTGATTTGTTTTAAATAAACGCCCCAAAAGGTAGGGGGTCGACGACTTTTCCTTCTTTAAGAATCTTTATTGTCGATGGAGTAAATATTAGTTTCGTCACTTCGATATACCCTGGTATATCTTCACGGTAGAGCACTGTACCTACATTCAAATTTAGTATTAAGAAATTACACTTTTGACTATAAAAACTCTCTCGGAGCAATCGATTGATTGGCAAGTATTTTTTTACCATATAAAACATTATCAGCCTGAACCATGGTTCACTGTATATGCCACACATACGTTTTAAAAAAAATTACAACTCAATTTTTCAAATTATGTTTGATTAGTTATTTTACATCCCTACTACCTAATCCTCAACTTCGCACACCAGCCGCCGTGTAGGTAGGCAACCCATCGGTCTTTCAGCCTTACACCTTAATGTGGCTGTAGGGAATTCTTTCCTGGCCCATGGGCGTCGTGAGAAAAAGTATTTCGCCCATTTTCACGAGAGGGAATTTTAAAAAAAGGAATTTAAAAAAGTGGAAACAGTGATAAACAGCATCAAACACCTACCTTCTCGTTCGCAGCCACCTCCAAGGTGTAGTGAGCAGTGAACGACACATGAGTTAGAAGGTTGGTGCTCAAAGGCGCGAAATCTGCCTCAGCTCGTCGAACACATAGGGTGATGCCGGTGAACCTAGGCGAAAATCCCCATGCGGGCTTCAAGAATACTGCCGCAAACCAAGAGCACCAAAAGTCAGCTGCCAGCTGTAACATGTCCCGAGCGTTTAGTTTTTCATCCTTCTGTCCGTCTCGGTACTCACGTTTCCCACCCTATTTATCAACTGTTTACGAACTCGGCTAGAAATCGAACTTCAGCGAGCAGCAACCAGCCAGCAGAAGCATGGGCGTTTAACCTTTCAATCGTATTTACCTGTATTTGGATAAATGAATTTTCTTTGACAATGTGAGTACTATTTCGCAAATGAATCGGTCGCTTAGTGACTGATTACGTGACCTTACTAGATGGTGGCCACGCCAGACATTCGAACACTCAGAAAATTAAATCGTTTTGAATCTAGTTTTTAGTTGTCAGTCAACCCTATTTTAAATACTCCTTTTTTTCGAATTATCTTGCCAAAGACGATGTGATTCTGAATTTGTAAGACTGTCAGCAGAGCTTTTTCTTTAGGTTCCTCTGCATCAATTTTCAACTTACAATTTTATTTTATTTTCTTTGGAAAAAATTAGTATTTGTGTTTTATTCCATTTACAGAGCATCATCAAAAAGTACTCATGATTCAACAACAAAGTAGACTGTGCCTTGGTGCCATGAAGCTGGTGCAATGGCCATCTCTTGGACGGAGTGTTTCAAGAATATTATGGCCTATTAATGCCAAAAGTCACACTTCATTACAACCATACAGCAAGTCTGCTACTACGGCTCAGGTTGAAAAGCCAACCCCTGATAAAACTGAAGAAATTATAAAAAACAAGATAAATGAAGCCCCTAGTCAAAAAGCCTCCATTAAACCAACAGCGGCAATTGGTATAGTCAACAAACCTGAGGTGAGACAAGAGTAATTAACCGGTCAAAAGTATGCCTCTAACAGGCGTTGTTAATCGTTACGCTATTTTTTAAAATATTTTTCTCATTGCAGACACAATTTCCAACCAGTAAAGAAGTTGAAGCTATGATGAAAGTAAAAGCGCTTTCCTCAGCTATCGATATCTGTTCAACATTTAACCCCCAGCAGCGCATTCAGGTGAGGTTGAACCTTGGATTCATGAGCTTATGCATTTTAACTTCCATTTGAACCATATTAATTTCAAAGAGCTTCTGTCAGGCTCTGAAAAATTTGGTTGCAGCACAAAGTAGACCTTTGCCATTAATTCAAAAATTAACTGAAGGCATAAGTGAAGCTGCACCAAATCTAAATGTTAAGGAACTGAGTGATCTACTTTTTGTATTAGCAAAGCTGAGTTACATACATGCTGTGAGTATTAAATGCTATTCGACCACCTTGAGCTTGATTTGATTTTACCTCTGACACATGTTTGTTGTGTTTTTTGTGTGTGTGTTGTTTTTTCATTATAAGCAGGATTTGCTATCAAGTGTTTGTGAAGCACTTAAAACCAAAATAAAACAAAATACAAATGCTGCTGTTATTGGCTCCTCAATTTCGAGTCTGAGGAATCTTCAGTGGAAAGATCCAGGTCAGCAACCTGTCTATTCTGTAACATATCGCTGTACCACTCTAAATTCTTATAATGAATTCTCTTGTTTTAAGATCTACTGGATGAATGCAGTATTTGGATTCAGAAAAACTTCAACCAGTTCCAGAATCCAACAATATTCCTGTATACCCTTGCCTTGCAAAATCATTCACCTCCCAACTTGGAAGACCTTTTAAAGGTGAGTCTAATAACTAATAATTCACTCAAATCATGCACATGCATTATTGTTCATGCCACAGGTTTATGAACAAGACCTATACGTAGGGATACTGTTTTTTATTTCAGTGAATTATGAACTGTTCCCAAAATACCACATAATAATGATTTCACGTTTTCCCTGAAAGATCTGTCACACGTTTGAAAGTTTTTCTCTATCTTACTAATATTTTCTCTGTTCTAAAAGTGCGTATCTCTATCAAAATCAACTTGTTTTCAGCTCATTTGGAAGAGGATGAAAAATCCTCCACCAGTAGAACTGATAAACCTTGTTTGGTCAATTAATGTTTTAAATAGTTCATTTACTGAAGAAGAAACAAGAAAAGCTTTATCAGGTTTCTTCAACCCAAAATTCTTGAAAAGTCTTGGGTCAGGTGAGGTATTTTATGAAGATAAAAGTTCAAAACTAGGGACACACTTTTTTAATTTTACATTTTCTTTACTCAAGGCCCTGAATCTGTGCCACTTTGGATTAAATTATGGAACTTACAAGCTGTGGCAAAATCCTTGTGGGGTCAAGCAGGTAATGAAATGTCAAGGCGAGGGTTTCTCTTTTAGTGTCAGTATTGTGAAAATTGTGTTTCTTTGTTTACAGAATTGGAAATCCCCGCTGTTGTTAAAAATAAGGTTTCAAAGACTCTTGTGAAAAGTGACAAGGCAGCCATGATTTCAGAAGCTACACAACTGCTTTTTAAAGACTTGGATTCCAATCTTTACTCAACCAACGTACCATCTAATATGGGGTTCCCTATCGGCATGTACTCTTCCTAGTTGACCCTAATCTGATAAGTGAACAAATCTAATTGTTTTTGTTTTTTTACAGATTTCACTTTCTGCATCAACAGTAGCATGACTGCTGTTCCATTACATGTGTCTACCCCTGACAGCATCAGGTATTTTATCAAGTTAGCATCTATGCATATTTTTTTTTAAAGGAGGTTGATGTTTTATCTTGATTCTTTTTGATCTTCCAGATTGGCCGTGATGATTCACTCATACCACGAGTGTTGCCACCCATCCAAGGAACCAAATGGATACAGAGTTTTTGAAATGAGGCTGCTGGAGGAAGAATATAAAGTAATATCTGTTCCATACCACATACTTGGGGGCGGATATGCCCAGGTACATGAGTTCTTTGAATCAACTCTAAGTACAATTGCACAGAAGAATAAGTAACTTGAAACATCTGGATTTCACCTTCCTTTTTAGGGTCTGTGTGAAATGTTTTCATTTTCTGTTATTTAAGTTTCAGTATGATTCAAATTGTAAATAAAATAAAATATTGAAATAGTTTTTGCTGGATGCAATCATTTATTATTCCTTAAAAGCACTAAATGTTATGCAAAACCAATCAATCTTGTATGTACAAATTACATAATTTACTCATATCAAATGGTGAAATATTGTCACGAGTTACTCATGTTTCTTGACTTCCTCCTCTACTTCTTTTTTACAATTTGTTTCTTAACAGTTTTCTTAGCTCCATCTTTCTTAACTGGTGTAATCTTTTTAGCTACCGTTTTCTTAACAACTGCTTTTTTAGGACCCAGTTTCTTTGCTGCTACTTTTTTATCAACAGTTTTTTTTGCCACGGTTTTCTTCTCCCCTTTGAGAGTTGCTAACTTCACTGTCTTGTCAGACGCAGCTTTGACATTTTTGCTCATCTTCACTTCCTTCTGTCCCTTGGTCGATACTACATGCTTCTTGGGAACTAGGACAGCACTTGGTTGCTTTACAATGGAGGGTTTGACACTGGGTGCAGGGGATGATGTTCTTGGTTTTTTAGTAGGAGGTACGGTTGGATTAGATTTTTCAGATTTAACTAGGAGCCTTTCACTTGTACCATCATCAACCTTGTGGAGAAAATACTCAATCAGTCACAGTAAAGATAGTATTCTAATGCGATATTAATATTAACAAATTGACGCTCACCTGGAACATACAATCAACACCCTGGGCCTTGAGTTTCTCTTGAAGCTCTACGAGGTGCTGTTTGTTGCGGTTCACACGATCTTCAGTTTCACTCTCAGAAAGAGGTTTGTTATGCTTCCGGACTGACTTCCGTTGGTTTATAACACCTATGCAAGTTTCAGGACCATACTTGGTGCTATGCAAAAACATTTTAGGGTTCTGCTTTTCTGGTGGAATGTAAGTTGCTAGAAAAAAAATATTAAATAACAATTAAGTGTATGAACACAAAAATTCTAGCTTTAACAGTAGAGAAGAGTCCAAACTCTACCTTTCAGGAGACGGTTTCGCATCAAATAATTATTCATAGTTTCAGCAACCACCTGGGCAACTTCAGTAAATCGAAATTCGACAAATGCATAACCCCTACTGTTTCCGGTCTGCAAACATTTCAAAGAGAAATTATAGTTAAAACCACTCCAATTAAATTCTACAGATACCCTCTGAATATCAGTATTACCTTGTTACTGCGAACTAGTCTGAGACGAGTGACATGACCAAATTGACTGAAAAATGCTTTCATTTCATTTTCGTAAAATCCGTGAGGGATATGAGCAAGGTACACAACTCCTCGATCAACTGATACGCGAACATTCCTCTTGCCATTTTTAGCTGAGACTTTTGAATCTGAGCCAGGTTCAGATTTCACTACTTTGGTCGGTGTCGTAGTCTTCACACGATCCTACCAAAGAAATAGTTACATGACCATGAATATAGTGCTGGAATGGAGTCAACATGTGATACACAGGTTATGGAGTAGAATAGATAATAATAAAGAACTAATAGATGGAATGAAGTGAACTTTTCTAGATAGAGTATGACCGGATTTCGATAGGTTTATTGTGGTTAACAACTTCCTTAACATTGGTAGACATAAAATTCACTTACCTGGAGAAGCTTGTTTATGTTCTTGACGGCTTTGTTGAGGGCCGTATGAGAGTTCTTTTTTGATTGTTTAGTTTCCATTTTGATAAAACTATTCAAATTTAAGGATTTCTAATCGGTTTTTCGGCGCCTAAGTCAGAAACCGGTGTCGATAGAGGTGCACATTAGACTCTTTAAAATCTTTGTCTGGACACGCACCACGAGGGTTTTCGTCTCACGTCACGACTGTTCAAATCGGATCGGGAACGGGATTGTGATACGGGGAACGGGACGACGAAACGCGTGTCTGTCTTTAAGCACATTTCGTACAGTAGGTGGTTGTAAGAGAGACTAGAACGTTCAATATGAAAAATATACTTTCAAAGTCTTTAATCCTTTAATTGTTCTTTAACTTCAGTTGGTGGATAAGAGGAGTATTTAATAATTTAATGAACAGTATAAATATTACCGGTCTGTCAGTAAATGCTAATCATTAATCATCATTTCGAATGTATAAAAAACGCTGTTAAACTTGTGTCGAGCTTGGTTTGGAGGCTAATGTACAAGCATAAGCTATGAGAAACATGTCTCGAAACATTCGTTTGTCTGCTTGTTTACAGGTGGCACCTCCGACAGTTTGCGAGGTTAGCACATTCTGACAGCACACAGCTGGCATATCACCTAAGGAATCGTCAACAATAAATGGCAGATTCCGAAAAAATGTCTTGAAACTGGGCTTCTCGTTTCTTCCTCTTGCTGCATAGATTCTCTTGCTGAAAGGTAAACATGCGTTTTCTTTGTTCTCTTCGTTGTCTTTGGAAGTATCGTCCAGGGATCAACCACCAAGGTTGTTCAACCACAACCACTAGGTTGAGGCCTATTCAAAACTGACGTTCTCGTTTTACAACCCATTCAGGACATTAAGGTGACCCAAGACTCATACGCTGTGTTTTCGGAGATGTCGTCCCAACTTCGCGACGCCCCCATCGGCCTCAGATGTGTTATATCTGCTGGTAACAAGTGTTTTCCTCGGTTGAGATTGAATAGAAATGTGTGGTAAGTACTTCTTTTTCCAGCTCATAAGAATCAGATTTCTGTTTCCTACATTAAAATGTCAATTGTTAATTTTTTTAGGTTTAAAGGAGCAACTTTGTTGCTAACTTTTATGGCATACACTTGTTACCACATGAACCGCAAGCCCATCAGTGTGTTCAAAAATGTCATTAATCGCAACTGTTCCAACCTTGTGCCGCCCCCTGGACAGGATATTGATCCAACTGATGAAACTTGGTGCGACTGGGCTCCATTTGGTATGATCTTTAGCTTCATGGACTTGTTTAAAGGATGTATTTTGAAGTATATTATTAAGTACTATTTTGTGACCCTCAGATCATACTGGTTCGGATGCCCTTCTGGGTGGACTTGATTCATCATTTCTGTTTGCATATGCTATAGCTATGTTCATGAGGTAAAACTGGTGGTTTCCTTATTGCCATAAACTGTACTGGAGGTTCTCTATTTGAAGTCATGTTTCTGACAGCTGTATTTTATTTGAACTTTTTGCAGTGGCTTTGTGGCTGAACGAGTAAATTTAAGATATTTCTTATCATTTGGCATGATTTTCTCTGGAATTGCATCATATTTTTTTGGTCTTGCTCGTGTTCTAAACATCCATGACTATTCTTATTTTGTGGTTGTTCAAGTATTTGGTGGCATAGTACAAACTACTGGTTGGCCAGGAGTAGTAACAGTGGTTGGTAACTGGTTTGGAAAAAGTAAACGAGGTAAAATCTAAATTAACGGTGTGTATTTGTCAGAGCCAGAACAGTCATAACTTTCAAAGGGTACTTACAATTTATTTATTTTTCTCAGGATTTATATTTGGAGTTTGGAACTCTCACACTTCTCTTGGCAATATTCTTGGGACCCGTTTGGCAAGCCAATATGTGGAGCACGACTGGGGCTTATCCTTCATTGTACCGGGCCTTGTCATGGCCATCTGTGGCCTCATCATCTTCCTCTTTCTTGCTCCCCATCCCAGTAATGTGGGATGTGGGAGACCAACTCATGTTAGAGTAAGTAGCTGCATGTTTCTATTTTCTTCTTAAATGTTAATATTAGATACAGATTCTTCCTGATCAGCAGACTGCTTCTGTTCAGAGAAAGAGATAATATGAATGGTGTGGCAGAGCTTTATAGAGGGAGAGAGAGCTGATAATAGAGCTGGCCTTTGCTCTTTGTGTCCACTTTTTGGGGGGAGATGTGACTTTGTCTGGGAAATTGCTTTGTTGCTTTTGATGGAAACAGTGTCACAGTATTACCTCAACCCACTGAATATGCTTACTGGTGCTTGAGGGCAAAGCTAAACGGAGCTTCATAAAGATATTTCGATTCTATGGAGTGGAGGAAGCTATATTTAAATGTACTTTGGTACTATTAATTTGAAGTGGTTTTTACACTATAGTTTTTCTCCATAGTTTCAACAAACTGTTTCTTCCGCCACATGCTTATCTGTTTAGATAGTGAAAGGTGAAACGTTGTCTGGAAGTGATAGGAATGTTGCAGCCATGTTGCACCAGTCCCTTGTGTTTACATTGGCATTGTTTGAGGAAGGAACACTGCTCTTTCTCTTTATCTTCTTTCAAGATTTAGGTCAAAAATCTCTTCTCATAAATAAATGAGGGGTACCTAGTTCCATGTTTTATGAAAAGACTCAACATAATTTTTTAATACTTTGATTAATTGTCCTCCAGGGTAGCACATAGTGACTGTCTGATTTTTGCATGATATTGATAAGAACAGGATTTTAATGCATTTACTTGTAAGGGATTTAAATGTGCGCTTGTGTGAAAAATGTCGCTAATGCTGCAACAATAACTCATTGAAATCTTACAGGATGCAAATGAATCAGGAAGTGTGAATGCACCTCGTCGTATTCGTTCAGAAGTGTCCCCCCCATCTGAGGCTGACACTATTGATACGAACAGTTCCAGCATTGATGATCCAGATCTGAATGAAGATGATTCTCCGGTATTTACTGTAGCTTTTGCATGTCACCAGACTCTTTTTATTATTACTTGGTGGAGGTATTTTTACAAGGAGTACGGTACAGTTTGGAATCTTGCTATTGCGTGGTGCTTGAGGGAATGTAACAAATGGAACCTGCTGCTTACAAGTTCTTTTGAAATATGACGGTCTGAAAGAGAGGTCATGGACCATTACTTAAATTTGAATGAAGAAAGATTCAGATGTCTACGAATTTGCCGAAGTCTTTTTTGAGGGTTTGGTAACATTGCCCCTTGATGCCCCTAGGAGTCATCACGCCTACTCCAGCCAGATGGATCAAGCCTCTCGGGTGATCAACCTCATCAGGCCATCGGCTTTATGGAAGCACTCCAAATTCCTGTAAGATCCTAAATCTATCTACTTATCTTCTTTTTTGTTGTCTGTCCTCTTTCTGAGCTTCTTGACTATATCTATTTCACATGTTGCAGGGTGTTATTGAATTTTCCATGAGCTTGTTTTTCTCTAAGCTTGTAAGCTACACATTCCTCTACTGGCTCCCCAAGTACATTCAAAATTCAAGTGAGTACTTAATACCAATAAGCTCTGTATGCATGATCGAACAGCTTTTCAGGTATTGCAGAACAATTGTAATTACCTCAACATGAGAAAATGGGTAGAATTCTAACTGTATTTACCTTTTATCTATTTCAGCTGGGTTATCACCAAAAAATAGTGCTGACTTCTCAATCCTTTTTGATCTTGGTGGAATTATTGGAGGAATATTAGCTGGTGTTTTGAGTGACTACAGTGGAATGAGTGCAACAACTTGTTCTGGCATGTTTGTGTTGACTGTGCCAATGCTTTTTGTCTATCAGGCTTATGGGACTGAAAACACGGGCACTAACGTTCTATTGTTAATGCTAGTTGGTCTTCTTGTAAATGGGCCCTATGCTCTTATTACAACAGCTATTTCTGCTGAACTAGGTACACACCATTCTCTTGAAGGAAATTCCCGTGCATTGGCAACAGTTACTGCCATCATTGATGGCACTGGTTCCATAGGTAAATGATCTTCGTGTTTTGTTTCTTAAAATGCATCCACTTGATGCACTGTGCTTGCTAACAATTTTTTTTTAATGTTTTGGTCTATAGGTGCTGCAGTTGGGCCGTTTATTGCTGGCTTTGTAGCACCATACGGCTGGAATAATGTCTTTTACATTTTAATGGCTGCCAATATTATGGCACTTTTGGTATGTGGTATTGAGAAAATTGAATTACCTACTCTTGTTGTCTATTTTTTACTATTTTGACATTTTTAATTCCATTAACTATTTGCTTTTTTCTTAATTTGTTTTTTTTCAGTTCTTATGTCGCATAGTGGTTGCTGAATGCCGAAGATTTTTACGGACAAGACGTGGGACATGGACTGCATAGAATGAACCCTCATCTCAATGGTTGGGTGACCTTTTTACCATCTATCAGGTTTCATAGAATATTTTATTGTTGTTCTTATCAAACAGTACAATTTATTTATGATTCCTTGGCTACTAAATTGTATTATTTTTCAAAATATAGGTATATAATTAATTAGCAGATGTTTTGCCAAATGTTTTAGCTCATTAAATAATTTAATTTTGTTGTATATATTTAGCAAAGGTTAAAAGCACATAGATGTTTACCAATCGAAGTGCCATTTTATTTTAGGTAGAGAAAAAGTTTCAGGATCAAACTCAGGACTTTTTCCTGGAACAAATGAAGTCCTATGTTCATGAACTAGGTAGGAAACAATCAAATGTTTTTATTTGTTTGATATCTACTATATTTATTTAATAATTAGCCGCACTCTGTTCTGTTGTAAGTCACACCTCAACTTTCTGGCTTTAGAATCAGAAAAAAAGGGTGCAGCTTAGAGATTTAGAACTTTTGAAGAAAATTAGTAATTGGTGAAAATTCAAATTTTAAAGGGCTGGATTGGATCTGGTGGGCAGGAGCCTATGGAAGGATTTGTTCAGAAAGACAAGTTTTGCAACAAAGTCCTTATACTATCAATGCTTTAAGATAATCTAATCTAATTTGTGATAAGTTCTTTGCTCTTTAATGTTTTCTAAAATTTATGTTCCTATCAAAACTTTTATCTGTGATGGAACTTCTCATAAATGTGATAGTTTTTTTAAGCATATACAGGTGCAGAAAGATGTAAAGAACTTGAGTTTTACAGTTTACCTACCTGTTTGTATAAATCAGTTATTTCTTTTTTTTTTAAATAATGGAAGTAGATGCAAATTTTTGTTACTTTGAGTAAAGATCTCAAATCTGAAGCTTTTTGTAAGTATCAAACATTGCATTGAAATGTGCATTTATCACAAGGTTGCTATGGCCCAACTTCGCTAGCTTTCCCCACTTCGAATCCTGTCACTGGGCCATGAAGTACCTACAGTTGTTATTAACATTGAGTTGTATGTATGTCATTGTGCTGTGCTTTCTTGTGAGTATACTCATGGAGATTGACAATGGAGTGCTCCATGGTGTTTTACTTTTGTTCTTCCAGCTTAATAATTATGTTAATGTATATTGGAGTATTGTACCAAAGCTTTGAATGTGGAGATTTATTTCCTAATGTTCCTCTTGTTAAGAGTGTCTATCATATCTTGTTTCAGTCTTTGTTACAGTGATCTTTAGTTTACGATCAATTGCAAAATGTTATAGTCCCTTGATTGTGGGTAGTGGATACTAATGCATCAAAATTTAGCACTCTTCCTCACTTTATTTTATTGACATGGGGTGACACTTTCCTCTTTATTCCAAGTATTTCATTGAGATGAAATATTTGATTGGACTTTATTAAAATGAGCAGGATATATTTTCTTATAAATTGATATTAACCAAACCAAGCAAGGCTCTGTGAAAATAACTTTTATCTCATGAATAAAATATATTTTTTGTGAAAAGGTCTTTTGTCTTTTGTCCCTCTTTGTTTCAAAGATTTAGGTTAGTAAATGGTGGTGTGCACGATCAGTCTTTTTATAAAATTTACTTTACTAGCCTGCAAGTGGATTTGCATGTACGGTAACTGATTGTAACCTTGTCTCACTGAGCGGCTTGTAGTTTTTGGGGTTGACTTGCAGTTTTTCTAGTTCTTCCAATGCTTCAAATCCATCAATCACTCTGAAAGCAAGAGAAAGTAAATCTATGTTACAAATATAAGTAATTTAATCCATAGCAAAAAAAGAAATTAAGACATACTTACTTTCCAAACAAGGTATATTTAAGATCAAGATGTGGTTGCGGTCCATAAGTAATAAAAAATTGACTAGCATTTGTGTTAGGACCATTGTTAGCCATTGATACCATTCCACGAGTGCTATGCTAGGTTCAGAAAAATGTTCAATTAGATATTGTTTCCTTATGTTGAAAAATTACTGAGAGTTGTAAAAACCTACTTTTAAATTGTCCTTAAACTCATCCTCAAATTTTCTTCCCCAGATGGAATTCCCACCCTTCCCTGTGTGGGTTGGATCACCAGTTTGGACAATAAAGCCCTTGATGTTCCGATGAAAGAGGGATCCGTTGTAGTAATCACTAGCGCAAAGAGCCAGGAAGTTCTTGAGGGAGAAAATAAAGAGTACAGAAAAGTTTAAATATGCAGAACCATAGAAGCAAATGCTAGGCAGAGGTAGAAATTTACTTGATAATTCAACAACAGTACCTCACAAGCTTTGGGGCATGCCTCGCAAAACAATTCAATTTTCATGTCTCCGACATCAGTATGAAGAGTGACCGACTAAAATATCAAACAGAAAAGACAAATAAAGAAACAAAATCCGGGTACACTAATTGTCATAGCTGAAATAGGTAAGACTGATTTCATTTTTGCATTATTGTGTTAGTTGCAGGTATAAACATAACCAAGACAACACATGACCGAACGAAAATACTCCTCAACCCACCATGGTTGCAAGAAAAGATTTAGCTTGAAGTTAAGCACAAAATATGAAAATTCTGGGAAAAGGATCAATTCTAGGAGGAAACGATAGAGTCTCGACAGAATCGGCCTAAAAGTTTGACGTTTAATCCAGACGATCAAACGTTTGACGTTGCCAAAGCTTTCTAGATTTCGTCTGCAGCAGTAAATAAAGTTCATTCCCCTCATTGGTCAACAAGAGAGTAGTACAACGTGGAGTTGACGACCCTTGATGAATTTTGTCTTCACCTATTTAGGAGGGTTAGGGAGCTATTTAGGAGTCAAAATTTGATTAGTAATCCAAGCTCTTACCATTTAAAATTAGAGACCACAAATTTCCCACCGTGGAATAGTAGATTAGTTTTAAAGGGTTAATCACCAGTGTACCTGTCGTCACAGTCCTCTGGATTCCCTTCTCTGCTTCTTCTTTCCGTGACGTCACATATCGATCGCGAGGGTTGGGAATTTGTCGCATTCGCCATTTTGACGATTGTGTAAGAAATATATCTAAAGAATAATAATTTAGTTATCCGGAGACATCCGTCCTTATTTATATCATAAGAAGATAAATTTGATTTCTGTGTTTTTAACCCATCTGGACGGACCAAGGTACAGTAATTGAGCATTTATTGTGGGGAGTGTCTTGGAAACATAGAAGTTTTTCCTAGCCGTTTCACAGGCTTATCATAAACTGAACCGTTTTGCTCATTGTCAAAGATATTTATACCGGAATTTTTGTAAGTAACAAATTTGGAGAAGCACGAAGAACAAAATTTACAGTTGAAAGTCCAACGGGTATGTTTGAACCACTACCGCCCTATTTTAGAACTTTGACACAACGCAACGAAGGAAAGAAATGAAGTTTGCTTGCCGAGGGTGTAGCCTAGGCTAGTGCATCTTCCGAAACATTTTTAAGCCTAAGGTTTCCCTTCGGATCAATGAAAGTCTACGCGAATACTCTGTCTGAACCATGGTCTAAAGCGGAGAAGTTCTGGTTAGTCTCTGTCTATCGGGGTTTCAACAAAATAGTGAAGTGCGTCACCTCCATTGAGTCGACTCAGGTCAACTAAGTTGTGCCTTATTTGTTTTTGCGACAAGTAGATTGTTTTCTCCTATGCTTATTGTTGACCGTCTTGATCGCTGCACTGCTAATAATACGGCCCTTTACACCATGTAAATTTTTCAGTGTTCAGAAAGGATGTTTTCGTGATAAGAACGCCGTATCTAACCTTTCAAAATTTTTTCGGTCGGTGACGTTGACTCTCTCGTTTTATTTCTGATTTTATCGCGACTCACGCAGGGTAATTTCCCTTTTATTATTCCTGCCAGTGTAATTTTGGCAACGTTTGTTACGTATTTTACTATCCTTACTTTTTTTTCTTTCTTCCAATTGGGCTTTGGACCCTTTGGTACAGTTCTGGGAAGTGCAGGAAATGCTCTTAAAAATGTATAAAGCCTTGGAAATTTTTGATATTTTTGTTTACTTTTATTATTTTGTTCTATTGGCCATCTCATTGACATTTCTTCTCTCTTTTTTTTTCGATTTGTGGTGTTCTTGCATATCTTTTAGTATCATTGTTTCAAGAACTAATTGACAAGTTTTTGAGGTTATGCTCTGATTTTCTTTCTTTTTTTTCTGTTTATGATGAAGTGCTTCAACCCAAATTTTTTCTACTACCTACAATTTATTCATTGAATATGAGTGCCTCAGTGTAACTGTGAATTTTTTGTTTTTCAGAAATAGGGTTCGTTCCACGGGTGTCTGTTTTCTAAATGGTTGCCTGCAGACAGCATGTCTACTCTGTCAGGGATTGCATCGAAGGGGGAGAAAGGAAAAGCCAAGTATCAATCCCTAGATATAAATAATTTGTACCGGGTGAGTAGGGTGAGTAGAAACAACTTTTTTTATTTTTTTGCTTTATTTTACTTTTATTTTATTGATTTATCATACACGTAATGCAATCATAGATCAGGAAATATTTTCTAATCTGTCACAAACCTTTTAGGTTAATGTTGGATCCCAACAACAAAAATTTATATTTTCTGGTCTATGCACTTTTTTTAATAGTATGTGATCCTCTGGCAAGGCACTTTTTGTTCTGTCTAACCATTAGCATTTTTAAGTAATTTACTCTTATAAAGTATCATCATATTTCTCTAAGTATTTATTTATTTTTTATTTTGAAGTCAATTTTATCTGAGGATTACATACCCTATGCTTTTTTCATGTTCATTAACTTACGTGGCCTCAAAGCTAGTATCGTAATTTGTATTCTATTCACTGTTAGAATATGTTAAAGTAAATTTATTTGTCTTTTTGCAAACTCTTTCTCTTGGTGTCAATGAAAAACATAAAGTTCTGATTTTTTTGTGTAAAAGTATTTGTACTTTTCTGGTTTTGCCACAAAGTTTTTGAACTATTTTCACCACAATTTGTAAGAATCTTGACAATCTCTGTGCACGTTTTCTCTTCTAGGGCGAGTCTTTGGAACCACACCAGCAAAAAAATGCACTCCCAAGAAAGATTGGCATGCAATGCCTGGGCAAACTGCCCTCAGCCCGCCGTCCTCCAGCTAACCTCCCAAGTTTGAAATCTGAACATAGTGGAAACGATCCAGCAGTAAGTTTAGTTCCAAGCGGTGGTTCAGGATGGGGTGCGAGCAAACTTGGAGATGCAACCTCTACGTCAGGGACATCAGCTTCAACATCAAATGTAAATACTGTTTTGGCTCATAGTAAAAGCTAGATTCAGTTTTACATATTTTATTAGATTTATCTTGTTAAAACTGAAGAAATTTGAAGTATTTTTTCATGTTTTTATTGTTGTAGTTTCCTTGACTCTTTTTTTTTAATCTTTACTTTTACTATAGCTTTTCCACCAGTGCACCTTTTTGTCTATCAATCCAATTTGCACCTTGCACATCTATTGCATATAGTGTTGTGATATGGTATGTCTTTTGGTAGTATCTGTATCACTTGATTATCATTTCATTCTTTTTGATGTTGCATTAGTGTTGTGCTGTAGTTCTTAAGTAGAATTTGTGTCTAGAGAATTAAGTATTGCTCTGCTACCTCTGTCTGAACTTTTATCGTGTGAATTTGTCACAGTTTTGGCATTACTTTTAATCTAATTAAACTTGAACCGTCACAAGTTGTAGTTAATTTGCGTGTTACTGTGTTCAGGTATCAGCAACACCCCCAACAGCACCTCAAGCAGCTGCAACTCTCTCTCCTGCTACACAAGCTGCTGCTTCAAGTGCAGCTGCAAACGCACCTATTCCACCTGCCGCAGCGCAAGTGTGTATCCTGCCTTGGTTTCTTTTTCATGTTGCCTACCACGCTGTGGCTCACCAATGTTCACGTTCCTTACAGTTACATCAACCTCAACACCATTACGGCAGCTCAGGAGACAAATCATGGAGCAGTATAATGGTCGGCGGAGGGGGGAGCGACCCTGCAAGTGTTGCTGCCCCATCCTTCCTAGCCCACCAGTCACCGTTGTTCCAACAGGAGTTTCCCTCCTTGTCAAGTGGCGATGGACAGGGTCCTGCTGCTGGGCAGAAAGGTGGATCCGGCGCAGGAGGTCCAGAGTCACAGTATGGACCTGGACCCAATCTCCGTCCTCAAAGTGAGTGTTGATCGACATGTGATTTTAATACCGTAGGCTGCAATAAATCATATTTTAAACACCTTTTAAATCGAAAATTGGAAAGTTTTTGAAATAACATAGAAGTGCCGATATTAATGTGTGTTCCTTTCGCAGGCGGAGATCTAGGTGGCGGTCGGAGCAACTTGGGCCAGCTGGGACCCCAGGGTGCGGGCATGGGCCAGGCAGGCCAAGCCAACGGCCCTGGATCGGGCCCTCTGGCGGGCCAGGGGGGACCCATCGGAGCCTTTAGGGGGGTCATGCCCCCCTTTATGTACAGAGGTGGCTTTCCAGGCCCCTTCCCTCCCAACTTCCAAGGCCCCCGCCCACGCTTCCCCTATGACCAGGGTGGGAGGTAGGTCACACTGCCAAAGGCGGCCTTGGGTGGCATTTTGGACTTGTCATGCTGCTCGCAATTCCTCCCATTTTCTGCAACTCTTTTCTGAGGCTATTGAATTTTTCAGATTCCCTCCACCACGACTTGGTCCTCAACAATCTGATGGCCGAGGCAGGAGACAAGAAGGGGACAGGGGACATGGAGCGCCTGATGATGATATTATTGTACCTCGACCTATTATTAAAGAGGAAGATCTTAAATGTATGGATGACATTGGCCGCGATGCTGGCTGGGCTGTCAGTGATGACATAGACTACAAGTGAGTGTTACCACCAGTTCGTTTAATGTTTCATCGTATATGAACTCTTTATTGAAACTCGTGTTGTTTCTCCTTGCAGTCAAAAATTAACCTTCAGCGATGATGAATCAACTGACGACAAGAGAAAATCAGACAAAGATAATCGTGACTCTAGGGGTGGACGCGAGGACCGCGACCGTGAACGTCCCATTGAGCGCGACAGGGATCGTGACAGGGATCCTGACAAGATGGATAGGGAGGACCATCCAAGGGTAAGTTGGGTCTTCTCACATCTTTCGGGAATGTAGTTTTGTTAATGTCAGTGCATTGGGAGGGCTGCTTCCTGTGAAGTATGGCTTATTGGTTCATGTGTGGAAGGGCAGAAACATTTTCATAATGTCAGACTATGCGGGTGAAAAAGCCTTAGTTTGGTCTCATTCAGGTGGAGTAACTTTTGCTCTGCCTCTACGTGCTCCTGGTCATGTGTTACTATAATGCTTCTGTTGTCATCCATCAAACTCCATCGTCAATGCCTGCCTCTTGCTAGTCGAGGGCTAATTTTCTCCCTCCCTCCCTCCCTTCCTCCCCATGGGGTGTATAATTGTACGGGTGTGTCTAACTGCATGCTGGGAGGGCGCGCGCTTGCTTGCGGTGGCTGTAGCGGTGTCTTGGGCTGTTCCAGAACGACCGTCGAGGCGACAAGCGCTGGCAGGGTGGGCGGCCACCCCCATCAGACTTTCGCTCTCCGCCGCACTCCGCACCTTTGGGTGGGCCCAACCGGGCAGCCCCTCACGGTGTAAGTACTCCGACCGCTTCGCCTCCATGTCCGTCCGGGGTGGTGCATGTGTGTTGTTGTTGGCGCGAACCTCTGCACGAATCACTCCTTTTATCTTTTTTGGGGGGGGTGAATGTGGGGGTATTTTAATCACGGCTCTCTCATTGATGAGGTATAATCGATGTAAGCGCTATGAGGAAGTTACCCCTCTCGGCCAAAAGGTCAACTTCGGAGATACATTTATCATGACCAAGTACTGTGGAATAAGTACCCTACTCGCAGGACTTGTACTGCGAGGAAAACATTTCTCACTGGCGAGTGCCGTGATAGCCCACTCCCTAAACTTGTCGTCCCTGTTGCAGGGCCGGGTGGTGCAGGAGGAGGAGGAGCTGTGGACCGAGCAGCGGCGGAAGCAGAACGAGCAGATGGCTGCTATTGTGGAGCGCGCCAAGCTGCGCCGGGAGGAGGAGGAGAAGCGCTTCGAGGAGCGCCAGGCCAAGGCCAAGAAGAAGCTGGCCGAGCTGGACGCGCGCAAGGCCAAGGAGGCGGGCGGCGCCGACGACGCGTCCGCCCCGGGCTCCGGCGCGGCCGAGGCCGGCGATGACAAGCCGAGCAGGGAGGCTGTCGACTTCCACCAGCTCACCAAGATCGAGCGGCCCACCTTTGTAAGGGAGCGCGAGCGGGAGCGCCAGAGGGAGCTGGAGCGCGAGAGGGAGCGGGAGCGGGACCGCGAGCGGGACCGTGAGCGCGACCGCGACCGTGACCGCGACCGCGGGGACCGTGACCGCGGCGACCGAGACCGCGAGCGCGACCGGGAGCGGGAGCTGCGGTCGGAGCGCGACCGGGAGCGCGAGCTCCGCGGCGAGAGGATGACGGGCCACCCCGAGTCCGGGCCGCCCTTCAGCCGCCACTTTCAGAGCAACCTGCCGCCTCGCTTCCAGAAGCAGCAGGCGGAGCGCGGCGAGCGCGGGGGCGAGCGCGGGGGTGAGCGCGGGGGCGAGCGCCACGCGCCGGCCTCCAACAGCCACCCGGCGCCTCCCAGCCAGGCGTTCGAGCAGCGCTGGGCCATCCCCACCACCAACAATGCACCTGTGTACCAGGGTAAGTGAAGCAAATCAAGCGACTAATTATTTTAGTTACCCAGAAGTCCAATAAATTTGATCAAATTTTGAAAATTGAAGCAGTCTTCTCTACGTTTTCACAATTTGTTTTACTTGTAATTTTTAGACAGTCCCCTGAAGACTGTCTCTACCAGAGGGCAAAGTCGTCTCCTCCTCCTTACTCTCTTTATAGCATAGAGCGGAGCCTGGAGTGTGTGGCTGGCTGGTTGTTTGACGTTTACATTTCAGGTCTTTACTCTGTCTCTCTTTGATTTGCAGCCGGCAAAGGGCCGCTGGGCCGGCGAGGAGGCCGCCCGGATGACCCCGCCGTCGACCGGGATCGGGACCGCGAGCGTGATCGCGACCGAGAACGTGACCGTGAGCGGGAGCCGCTGGACGACAGGCCGCCGAGTCGCGACCCCCGGGACCCTCACCGGGAGCGTGACCGACGAGACCGGACCACCCCTGAGGCCAATGATAGGTAGATTGAACAGTCAGAGACGATAGACCGGTTTATTAGCGGTGATTGTAAAGGAACGATGGGGAAGTTAAGTCAGAGAAAGAGAACCAGGGCCTAGCTAGTGGGGATCATGACGGCATGCGTGTGGTGCTTGCAGGTTCCGGCCTGCCCGCGACCGCGACTACCGGGAAGGCTCCGGCCGGAAGGGGTATTACGATAGCGCCGAGTACGGCCGGTACGGCCGCGGGGACTATCGCGGACCAGAGTATGACAGAAAGTGAGTCCTCTGCTTTCAAAGTGTGACATCCAGCTTGTATTTTGATTATTTTTTTATTTATTTTATTTTTTTATATTTTCTTTGGCTTAGTATTTTCATTTGCGTGCTATCGTTGCAAGCAGACTTTAATTTTTTGTTTTTTTGTATTAATTTGAGGTCTTTATTCTCTTTTTTTGGAAACTCCCTATTCTTTTTTTTATTCTTTTTTTTAAATTTGTAATTTGCTTGGTTTAGTTTCTTTATTATCTTTTGCCGTAGTTGTGTTTTGGCCCCTGGGAGTGGGTTCCTAATCGGCACGCACACCCTTGCCTTGTTCACAGGGAGCGCGAGGAGTGGGACAGGCACCACGACGAGCGCAGGGGCGACCCAAAGAAGGACTACAAGTCGCATGTGAGTATGCGAGCCAGTTTCATGAAACTGGCTACTAGGGATTTTTATTTTCTAAGACAAAAATGAAATGTTTTTTTTTTTTACATTTTCTAAATTTTTTGTTGAAGTTATTTTATTTTGGCTTCAATTATTCTGGGAACATTTCAGATGTTTCAATTTTTCCTGGAAACATCTGATTTTAAAAACCCTATCTTGAACCTGCTGTGTAGAGCGCGCCGCGAGTCCTCTGTGTTCTTGGCTTTGCAGGAGGAGTTTGATGAGCGGGAGCTGAGCCGCCAGGACAGCGGCGGCAGCGAGTGGCGGGACAAGGACCGTGACAAGGGAGACCGTCGCGACCGCCGCGACTCGCGGGAGCGCGATGTCCGGGACATGCGTGACCCTCGTGACCTCATGGAGCGCGACCGCTTCCGCGACCGGGACCCGCGTGACCTGCACCGGGACCCGCGGGACCGGGAGCGGGACCTGCGCGAGCGCGACCCCAGGGACTCCCGCGACGTCCGCGACAGGGAGCGGGACAGCCGGGAGCGGGACATCCGGGACCGCGACAGGAGAGGCGGCCGCGACGACCGCGACCGGGAGCGCGACGTTCGCGACCGGGAACGTGAGATGTTCCACGAGCGGCCGCAGCGGCCCGACAGCCGGGACAGCCGAGCCTCCAGGGACTCGCGCAACTCCAGGGACGACGTCAAGATGGACACGTCGGGATCCTGGGCCGATGCCTCGTTCGACCCCCACTACGACTCGAAGGACAAGAAGCACCGCGACTTCTACCGCGACCGCCGCGACGGGCCCGTGGTAAGTTGGAGTCAGGTGTGCGTGGAGAAGCCCCGCAGCGCCCCCAAGAAGCTGGCGTCCTCGGTGACCAAGGCGACCAGGTCCCCCGCCCTCTCCCAGACCCACGTCCCCGGCCCCATCACCCAGGACAAGCTCCGGGCCCTGGACCACCAGACCAGCGCGCCCATGCAGCTGCTGAGCCCGCCCCAGCCCCCTCCCAAAGCCCCTGCCACCCTCACCGATCCCCAGGTTAAGGTATTTCATCGTCACCTCTCTTCCCTCTTCCGCCTCCGACGTAGAGTAACATGCCCTTGACCTCGTTGCCCTCTATACGCTTCATCGCATCGTGTCCCACAAACTTTGTGTCTCGGAAACGTTCGTAATAGCCGCTTAAGCACCACAAGCTCGAGCGAGTCAATGATTAGTCGACGGTTTATCGTTCGTATTAACCCTGAAACAGGCGGACATGACACACATGTGGTGCGTCACACGGTCCTGGCCCAAGTGGGACATTTGGCTTTTCTTCTTTCTACGTCCGTGGCTCCGCACTCAGCGTGTACTACATGACTTCCCCCCTTTCTCTTCCAGAACGACAAGGTGGACCGTGAGCCCATGAAGCAGCCCGAGACCTGGAGGTCGCCGCCCAGCAAGGGCGTGGACTCCGTCATCGCGGAGAAGGAGGTGGGCGGCAAGGCTTGGGCCGACCAGCTCGCCCCCGGCGACCAGCCCCTTACCCTCGACCCCAAGGACATGGTCGGTGGCGAGAAGATCAAGGACATGACGAAGGAGGTTGACAGGATCACTGGCATGCTGGGTAAGAACACGAATGACAGTGGGCTGGGTGATCTTAGTCCCCGGGTCGCCTGTTTCAAAGCAGTTACTGTAACCGTTGCTCTGTTCGCAGGCGACAAGCTGGAACTCAATGACGTCCACGGGGACCACCGGGACGATGACAAGTCGCGAGAGGACGACAAGCTGGACGAGGGCAAGTCCAAGACTGGACGTCGCAGTGGCCGCGGCGGCCGCTCTGGTGACCAGCCTCGGGGCAGCGGGGGCGGAGCTGGCCAAGGCCCCGGATCTCGGCGCTCTGGCCGCTCATACGGCGGGCGGCGCTCGGGCCGAGGCCGCGGTGGTGACTATGAGGGCAGCGTGTCCGAGGCCTCGGGCGACGAGATCTCCGTGTCCACCGAGTCCGGCAAGGAGGACCTGCGCGGCGGAGCTGGAGGTCCCGCGGACGGCGGCAAGGGTCGGCGCGGACCGAGGTCCCCCAAGTCGCGGCGGAGGAAGGACGACAACAAGAAGGACGACAAGGACTACGACGGCAGAGGCGGCCCCAAGGACCCCCTGTCGGGCCCCAAGGAGCCCCTCAAGGACCTGGGCCGCGACATGCTCCGCGACCCCACGCGCGAGCCCCAGCCGCCGGGCCAGGCCATCAAGGAGGGCTTCGCCCCCCGCGGCGAGCCGTCGCGGCGCGGGCGCGGAGGCATGGGCGCCGTGTCCTCTGGGCGCGGCCCGCCCGGCGGCATGGCCAACCCCGGCCCCGTGGGTCGCCGCATGGACGGCTACGGCCCGCCGCCCTCGAAGAGCCCCTTCGGCCAGGCCTCGGGTCCGGCGTCGGCGCAGCAAGAGAAGGACGGGCACGACGGCGGCGGCATGGAGTCCCAGGGCCTCGGCCTGGACATGGACGACAAGAAGGCGCCGGGCTCGCTGGGCGGCGTGATCGGCAGCGGCCTGCGCTCGGGACCCCCCGGCGTCAACACGGGGCCGGGCAAGCCCGGCGCGCCCCCCGGCTCCCAGGGCTCCACCCAGGGCGCTCCCCCGGGCGCGCCGCGCGGTGGTCCCGGCGGCCCCGGCCGCAAGGGTGACGGCGAGCCTCGCGGCGAGCGCAAGGAGCCGCGGCGCCGCGACCGGGACCGACCCCGGGGCCCCAAGCTCAACGCCGCGGAGGGCGCCGAGGAGTACGAGAGCGTGTCGGAGCTGAGCGAGGGCGACGACCGTCACGACCCGCGCAACGGCCAGGGCGGCCGGCGACCGGGCGGCTTCCGCGACAAGACGAGCGGCGGCCCGCCCGGCCAGAGCCTGGGCCGCCAGGAATCTGGGCGTAGCGGTAGCGGCCGCCGCGGCGGTGGCAAGGACGGCCAGGGCGGGCGCGACCGCGACCGTGACCGCGACAAGCGACGTGACGGCGGCAACGGTGGAGGCCAGTCCGGTGGAGGCCGAGGCGCGGGCGGCGGCGGCGGCGGCGGCGGTCCCCCTCAGACCAACGGACGGGTCGGCGGCGGGCGGCGCGAGGCGGGCCCCGGGCAGGGAGGACCCCCACATCCCCAGCAGGGCAAGGTGTCTCAGAGCACGGTCGCCGTCAACCGCCTGGACGAGGTCAAGGTGAACGACCCCGCCCTGGTGTCGCAGGCCATCACCGACCTGGCCAAGAAAGAGAAGGACAAGGCCAACAACCTGGAGGGCATCGATCTCAACAACTTCGCAAGTAAGTGCAGTCTCTTAAATTTATTTCTCTATTTGGCTAGTCAGCCATTTTTTCTCAGTCCTTTGTCATTACTTAGATTAGAAGTGTTTGTCATGTTGGGTTTGGTGGAAATTTTCACCTGCCAATGCATTGCTTAGCTGATTTGTGTCTGTGATTGGCATGTCTCAATCGCAATTGTTAATTTTGATCTAATCAATGTAATATTGATATAAATTTTAAGACACTTGTTTTACTTGAGTATTGAGTGTCCCTCTTGTTTTCCTAGCCTGCATTAAAAGTTTTGATCAGTAGATCTGTTTATTTAAAAAGAAATTATTTTTAATGGCATGTTTCTTATTTGCTTTTTACTTTTGTTTTAAACAAGTTTTCTTTTGTTTAAATCTGTTTGAGATCTTCTATACTAAATTTATCTAAATTCACCAATCTGACTTGTTTTGCTTTTCTCTATTTAACAATTACTATGATTTGTCTTATCACTGCATTAGTGCACTGTAGTAAAGCAAAGCACTTAGTGCATGAAGTGTCTGGTTTTGTTCCTGGTGGCTGCGCTCTAGTTTGTGTTGTGTGTGCGTGTGTGGCACCTAGGTGTGGTGGTAGTTGATGACCATCCAGAGGTGGCAGTCCAAGAAGACCCTTCACTTTTTGATGCAGACAATGGCTTCCAAGAGGTCCGCAACAAGAAGACGACTAAAGACACCAAGAAAGAAGAACCTGCCCCCAAGGGTGGTCGTGGAAAATCCCAGTCGCAAAGTCAGCCCTCTCAGTCCGGGTCCTCTCAACCTCAGCCTGGTCAACAGCCAGCACAACAACCAACTCCATTGATGTCAATCAATGCTCAGCCCCCATCCAAACAGAGCTTTGAGCGGTCTAGGCCCTCCAAACTTCCTCCTCGCTTAGCCAAACAACGCGAGAATAACCGTCTACAGAAGCAACAAGCTGCAGCTGCACAGCAGCACGACATTAGTGAAATGAACAAAGTTAATCAAAACATTAGCATGTACCCAATGAAAGGTAAGAGTAAAGGCAAATAGGATTTATCAAGCCCATAAACCCCTATCTGGGATGGCTATTTTTTACAATTGTGACTTATTCTTTGTCTTAATGTATTTCTCTGGTGTGTTTTAGATTCATCTGGGCCTGCCCCTCCTCCTCCTGTCAATGCTTGGGATAAGCCAATCAATGCTAGTTTAAGGCCAAGTTCACCTAGCACTACCAATATTCCTAGTGGACTACAACTTGTGGCTAGCATAGCTGATAATTGGTAGGTGAAATCAGAATATATGTGTTTTGCAGATTGATTATTTTTTTATCACATGTGTCTGTTTCGTGTGTCTGTCTAGCAGCAATATTGATGGAGCAGGTTCGGGTGGTTCAAGTCAGCGCAGCAGCCCTGCTGTTGACAAGTTAGGACGAGAGGTTCGGGAGCCCCGAGATGCAAGAGATGCACATGAACAAGCAGGTTCTGTTGCAGCTAAAGATGCAGTACTTGATGGTGCGTCTCCACCTGTACAAACAATTATATTTGAAAACACAAATTACAAGCAAGCTCCAACAGCATCAAGTAAATTTTCAAGTCACCCTAAAGGTGGCTCTAGGGTAGACAAACCAAGAGGTAAGATGTCACCTTTCGGTTTGTTTTCTTTTTGTTTTTCTTTTAATTCACAAGAGAGCCCCCTTCATGACTGTGGTGGCTACCTTAGTATTTAGACAGTAACTGCACAAATTATCAAAGTAGATATTCTGGGAACTTATAGTTACACTTGCAATTTATTGGAGAATGGAACACATCCTTAAACATGTCACAGTGACCCTTTCTCTTTGTTTTTACTTGTACTCATTTTCTTTATTTTGTCATGTGTGTAACTCCCTTACTTATTTTTCAGACTTGGATGACGGCTCATCCCATTCACATCAGCATCCTCACCCATCAAATCTTGGATTTGACATGAAGTCGGATGCCATGGATGGCAATGATATGAAGCTCGACTTCACATTCGAGTGCCCTGATTTGGACGACAAAGCAGGGAAAAGCATGGGATTACCTCGCACCATGCATTCCACTCACCCTTCCACTGTAGACTTGACCTCTAAAATTGCTGCTGTGAAAAAAGTGTGGGAGACTCCAACTGGTTATTCTCATGCAGATGAAAGTCAAGCGTATCCCCCTCCATTTGTATCCGAGGCAGGACTTGATGCTGCTGCATTCAGGAAAGCTGTCGAATCTCCTCAAATGCAGATGGATGAGAACTCTGAAGTGGTGTACTCACCTGGACCTCAGATGCAACCCAACCCTAACAGTTATGGAGTGTCTGGTGTTACTGGAGTGTCAGCTGTACCAGGAAACTCAGCATCACCCAATGTGTGTAAAGTTAAGCCTCAGCCATCAGTCATGCCACCAGGACCTCAGCTCTCTCCACCACCCTTCAACTCACAACCTACAAGTCACATCGCTAACTTCCAGGTACCTAGTTTTCTCTGCTATAATGTTGTTATTTTTGATGGCTTTCACCAGTAAGAACTGTATATTAATGGTAACTAGTCATTTCTCTCTATGCAGCCCACGATGAGCAGCAATGCTGCTCAGTTCGGTGGTATTTCTGCTATTCCCTCCCCACCAACGGTGCTTTACAATTCATCGCAAGCTGGCCTTTACCAAACATTCTTGGGAGATGCCCCTGTGCTTGGAGGACAGCCATTGGGCGGACAGGCCCTTGGAGGACAGCCTCTTGGTGGTCAACCTTTGGGAGGACAACCCTTAGGGGCGCAAGCCTTGGGAGGACAGCCTCTTAGTGGGCAACCGCTTGGCGGGCAGCCTCTTGGCGGACAGCCCTTAGGTGGACAGCCTTTGGGTGGACAACAACTTGGTGGACAGCCACTGGGTGGTCAACCTCTTGGAGGACAGTTGGGAGGACAGCCACGCTCTCAGTTTACCCAATTCCCTCCATACCAACTTTCTCAAGGGTTGACGGGGTCATCGTTCAATCAGCAATCTGTGTATGTGCATCAAAACCCTGCTCATCCACCTCCAAGTGCTGGACCAGATCTGTACCAACCCATGTCACAGTATCGTATGCAGGTAAACAGCAATACTTTTATCTATCTATCTAAGTATTATGATTTTATAGTCCAGTATTTTATTTGACATGTTAACTATTTTCTTTTCAGCCTCCTGGTGGACCATTTGGGCAATCTCAGCAACTGAATTCAAACCCCAACACTGTCCTCATATCCTCTTCATCCAATTCCCTTATGTCAGCAAGTGTGAAGCCCTCATCACATTCAGGGCAGATTGGTGCTATTGGAACTAAAGGAGGCGCTCCATCTCCATTCCAAACTTCAGCTCCTCAATCCCAGCTGTACATCCAATATGATCCTAGCCTAGTCCTCAGTGGGAATCAGAACTATCTGTCAAACTCACCACTTGTTCAGAGGGCTACACCAGTTCAAAACATGCAGTCGTCAAGCTTTTACTCAACCAACGCTGGTATGTGTGCTTCTTGTTCAGGCAGTTATCTAGTTGTATTTCTCTTTTAACTATCAATCTAATTTTTTTCACTTACTTCCCTTGTTAGGTGCTCAAGCTGGATTTTACCAAACTGGGTCCTCCCTTCAGGCAGCTCCTGCAGCTCCTCAGCTACATCAAACAGCCGGACCCTTTGGACTCCAGAGCTTCAGCCAACATGCACCTGTAAGAGGACACAGTTTGATGAAATAATCTAATCTGAAGTGGTTCAATCCTTTCTAACTTTTGTACTTTTGTGGGGAATAGTTTTTGTCCTCAAACTTGCAGATTGCAGCAGCTGTCCAACAGCAACAGCAGCAGCAGCAACAACAGCAGCAACAATATCGCAATTCTCAACCTAGCTATTTAAAGGGAGGGTTGAGTCAGCAGTCCCAACCTCCTCCTCCCTCATCACCATCTTCTCAACAACCAGATATGTTGAATTCGGTTTTTTCCTCAGGTAGTGTACTGAACTCTTATTGTTGTTTGTTTTCATTAACCTGGGAAAAAAAGCTTATTTTAACTTTTTTTGTTCAGGGTCCCAAATCCCATCCCCTAAGTCTCGAGATTCAAAGAAGTCTCAGTCAGGACCACAGGGTGGGCAAGGCGCACAAAACCAGCATAGCCCCACTCCTCAGCACCAGGGTGACCCTAGATCTGGACCTGGAGGGCCAGGACCTTCAGGACAGGGGCAGTCCGGCCAAGGACACAAATTTTCTGCATACCAAGGCATGCCCCAATCCTCTCATGTAAGTATCAATTTAGGTTGTTTGTAACATTCTCATGTTTCCACTTTTACTTTGCACCATCTCCTCCCTCCCCCCACTCCTCACTCCTCCTCCTCACTCCTCCTCCTCACTCCTCCTCCTCCTCACTCCTCCTCCTCACTTCTCCTCACTCCTCCTAATCATCCTCATTTTTACCCTCACACTCCACTGCTTTGGCTGCTCTAATGAACTGCTATCACTGCATTACCAATGCTTTTGCAATGCTTTATTTTTTTTGTGTGACTAACATACTCCTTTTCTAAAAAGGGCTATGGTCATTTTTTCCAGATGATGCAACAAAATGTGCGGGGCAATCAAATGAATGTGGGACCTCGTGGTAACATGGGCCAGTCAGGTCAATCCAGGTATCCCGCACCAATTCAGCGACCCAACTCATACAACCAGAGTGGTGTGCAATCTGGTGGTAATATGAATACAAATAGACATCGTACCCCTGCGCACAATACATCCAGACCACCACCATCAGTGGGCAAACAAAACTACTATGGTTCATCTCAAAGTAAGCATTCTTTCCATGCATTATTTTTATTTTTCTTCTTTGGAAGTACTATTTCGCTCATGTAAAATTTTCTTTTTTGCCAGGTGGTTCAGTGAAGATGGATAATTCGGGAAGCAGTGAAACAAGTAAGACCGAAAATAGCACTGCTGAGCGGAAGGACACTCCTACTCCAAACAGTGGCACCACTGAAAATAGTGCACCAACAGAAGCAACTAAAGATGAAGCACCTGCTCCAAGTGCTGAATAGTGTATTCATCTCCCCTTTTTCCCTTTTCCGTGTTCAGACATTTTCCATAAACTCTAAACTTGAAAGTGGGACAATTAGTCAGAAATAAAATGGCTGTTATGCCCTTTTTTCAAGCCTTCTTGGATTTGATGTGAAGATGAATGGAGGCCAGAAACTGGCACATATATTTAGGTGTCATAATTAGAGTGGTACGTGGGATTGTTGTTATGTATTGTTTAGTTTTAACCAAAAGAAAAAAAACAAGCACGCCATTAACCTCTCATGGACGCTCAACGGATTCTCTTGGGAGCACTTGCCGTGCCTATGTACCGATCGCGGCGGTACTAAAGGTCGACTTGCTCCTAATTAACTTGAACACTCTTTATGTTCATTACCTTAACAGATATGTCAAAAGTTCCTCCATGACTGCCACTCTGTGCTGAAGACTTGAGCATTTGAGTGCAGTTCAGCATCATGCGCTGGGACATTTTTTTGTGATTGTCAGTGATCAGAGGACGGCATTGAAGTGGATACAGCCCTCTTTTCTTGAATGCAAATTTGCACAGTATTCAATGCAACTGCCCATACCTTCTACATAGATGATGTGGCAGTGTATTCAACACGATTAGAGTAAAATGGAATGACTAGTTTAAGGTGAATGTTTCTTTTATGTTGTGGAACTGAAAGCAAGTTTGGACTCATTAGAGCTTGTGAACTGCATTGCTACGAGACTGAGGGCTGAAGGTGAAGACTGAAGCTCTGTCAGATACTGGTGGTGTTTTTTGATGGGGCTCCAGCAAACACATCTTTTGATTACTCTGCAAGAGTCTTAGACTGCAGATGATGTGTGTGGAGCCTTTTTCGCGCCAATTTCGTTGATATCACCATGTTTTGGGGATGACCAACGAGAAATTAAACTGCCACCTAATATGCAAGTAGCTAATGAGAGCCCCTATTATGATCGTGATTTGATGTTTTTATTGCTTAGTCATGTACTGATCACTTTTTGAAAATTGTCTTATTTATCAGTGTTGTCAAGTGTTGAAATAAATTGTACAATTGTCCCATGAATGTACTCCTTTCAGTGGTTTCAGGACTGTTATGTAAAATCAAATCATATTCTGCATGTTAGCTGTTCTGTTTTTTGCATCAGATTGATTTGTGTCCTGTTACCTTGTTAGTGGTATTTACATTCCAGAAATGGGTCATATGAATTGTATAATTTTGTCAGCATATGTGGATTCCTTTGTGTAAAGATTTTGCTCTTCTATCAATTGCCAATGTACATGAATGATCCACCTTAATTGAGCAATTAGTACAAGAATGTGTTTGTAAGATAGTGCTCACAATCAGTTGATGAACTTTTTTTTATTTGAGGCACATTGCCTGACTGGAGTCATGCGTGGTTGACCCACATGGATCATCACCAACTTCATCTCAATTTTACATGTCAACCAGTCAAAGGGAATATCGCTTCCTTTGAAATTCTAGATACTGCCTTTTTAAAATCAATAAACTATTATATGAAGAGAGATGCAAGAGCAAATCTGATTTTCTCAATACCTTCCTAATTCTCTCTTGCTACGGCACTAGTCAACGACACCAATCGTCAGCTGAAGAGAGCGGACGTAATCCTAACACAATTTTCCGTTAAACTGAGGAAAAGATAATAATTCCTATAGTTAATGGGAGGTCTTTCGAGGATGGACATAAAATTTTAGGGAGTATGCTGGCTGGGTATGGCCATAGCTGCATCTCACTCGCACGTGTTGGGGGACGTTGGTGTGAGATGGGTTGCCTATCGACCGGGCGGGTGCCGGGCCACGCTGGCGCGGTCCTGCACTACCTTGCCCCTCTCTTTGAGGTCTTTCATCAATCTTGTATTTGTTCTACGACCACGTGGTGGATGTCCTTGTAGACCCCCCCCCCCTTCTCTCTCTCCGTCTGGCTTCGCGCTGCCGCTCTCGAGAGAGAGACCTCCCGACCGACCACAGTCACCTGCCAACCGGAGAGTACAGTAGGTGTAGACAGCCGCGGAGCAGTGCCGCTCTGACCGCCGCTGCGTTCAGCTCGCAGCGCCCGCCCTCTGGTCCTCCTGCCGCTTGGCTTGACGTCACTGGTGAGTGGTGAGTCTCCGGGCGGTGAGGCGTTATCAGGGGCGCTCACCGCGCAAATGTAAGCGCCTCTTATCTGCCCAACTCCCACTCATATTGGGCGGAGGACGGTTATACCATGGGCGCCACAGGGCGAAAAAAAGTGCTGGTATCGGCAGATAAGTACCAAGTTGTATGTTGTATCGTCCCACTTCCTCTGAAAAATACTCGACTAGTACGAACGCAAGTGGACCCGTTCTTGTTGAAAGTTTTCAGAAAGGCCAGGGCATTTCCGAGACCCGCTTAAAGTGCGGGTGAGACGCGGAGAACATTTGCGGACGTCCAATAAACATGAAACAGTCACTTAGTCATTTGACTGGTTTTCGGTATTAACTATGCAGTCAAAGGGAAGACAGAATGTCACTCATTTTAACGCCATAGGCCAGTCAAGTGACTCACTCGTTACTGTTTCGTGTCTATGGGGCGTCTAGGAATACGGCCGGCGCCGACAGTACACATTGAAACGGGGTTGCCTCATGAGGTCTGTCATACGGAACGGCAGGTCAGAATGACGTATTCGTGTTCCCAAAAATTTAGAATCAATTTGACATTGATCATCTGATGCAATTTCTGTGGCACTGATGTCAAGTTCAGCCACACATTCTGACGTGCGGCCTATCTCAACCTTGCTAGAGTGGGGGGTGGAGGGCTCTGGCAACCACGCGCAGGACTCTCTGTTTAGACAGGCCGGTTTATTCTCATCGTACAGCGGGAAAGGGAAAACTAGGGTTGGGGAGGAGGGGGGGGAGAGAACGCGTCAGCGTCAGACTGGCCGGTACTGGGAACTGAGGGCAATCAACTGTCGGTGACCATGGGCCGTGGGGGCTTTACCCCTCTCTCCCAGACCTACATGCCACCCGGAACACGGCCCAGCAACAGCGGATACCTTTGTGGAGGGATGTGGGAGGGGGGG